TGTAACTTCTGCTCGTTTTCTCAGGACTTTTTCCCTTAAGATTTCAGGAAGTCCTTCCTTCTTGGTATCTCTGAATATAAGAACAGCCCAAACATCCAGTTTTTCTCTCTAAACTCAACCTTTGTGACGTTCAAATCTCTGAAGCAGAACTAAAACACTCAAAGATTCTGTATATAATTTATTAGAGAGCCTGGAATTGGTCTATGGAGTCAGAAATGGGTCAAAATGTTTGCAAAAGTTTAAATCTTAGTTCAATATGACAAAGTAAAAGTTTGTATTTAATGTCAAATTTTTTAATTATAATGTGAGAAACTATAAAAGAAAACATAAAATAATAAGATTTGAATCTAAATTCATTTTAGAATTTCAATTACACTTTTTCTCAAATTTTTTAATTTCAGTTTTAGATTTTCAAATTCAAATACATTTCTTTTTCTTTTTTTCTCTTTAGTTTCAAATTTCTTTTTCACTGTCAGGATTTTTTTTTTTTTTTTACACTTTTCAATATTTTTCACTTTCTGATTTTGACCCCAATCTGATGGGAGTGGGCGGGGGAAACGTGATTGACAGCTTGCTGCAGCGCTGGAGACTTAGACAATCATTTTGTATACACATACACTGGAAAAACGATCTAGAAATGAATAAAAATTTCTTAAATTAAGTGTATTTACCCTTAATTGCAGCAGGTAAATGAGATAGTTTGCCAATGGAATGAGTATTTTTAGTCTTAAAATAAGATAATTAGGTAATATGCACTTGAAATTAGACAATGCAATTGTGTTTTCTTATTTTAAGTGTAAATTGTCTTGTTCCATTGGCAAAATGTCTCTTTTACCTCCTCAATCCAAGAACAAATGCACTTATTTTAAGAAAAAATGACTTATTTAGATTTTGATTTTTCCCAGTGTATAGTGCAGGGGTCACCAACCTTTTTAAGGCTGAGGGCTACTTCATGGCTACCGAGTCTTAGAAAGGGCTACCAATACTGACCTATGAACTGGAGGGATCAGTGTTCACCTACAGTAAATCTCATCCATAAAAACTCATTTTTATTCTTATTTTATTCTTTTATTCATTTCTAATTTTCTTTTTAATATTGTCATTTTGAAACCAGTGAAAAATGATGAAATAGATGATGAAATAATACATAAATGATTAAAAAGAAGAGCAACAGAATAAAAAAAAATTAAATTTAACCCACTGAGTGAGTTCTTCTGTTTTCAGAAGACGAGGAGGGCCCCCCATGTGGTCCTTGAGGGCCCCCTGGTGCCCGCGGGCACCGCGTTGGTGACCCCTGGTATAGTGTTTACAAAACTAAATTTACTTTTCTTACAGCTTAGTTCTTTTTATGTTTTATTATTTTATGTTTGCTTTTTTAGTTTCTCAGATTATAAGAAAGAAAATTGACATTCAATATCAACAGTTTTAACTAAGATTTAAAAGTTTATAAAAATTGTGACCCCTTTCTGACTCCATACAATTCTCTGTTGAATAATAACTTGAATGGGATGAAAGCTGATATCAGTGATAAGGATGAGAATAAACTGTTCTCTGGTGTCAAAGCTCGGACATGTAATACTACCACTGGCCTAGTTCTCAATAAAAAGCTGTTTCCAAAGCACAGATGGTGAAATATCACCTGACTTTGGACTATGAGAGCTACATGTGGTTATCTTAGACGACGTCCTCGCCGATATGTCCCTGGGAGGTCCCTAAGGGCCCATTAAAAGGACCTTTTTAAAATGTTTATTTTGATTTCTGGGATTCATTTCAGCTTTTTGTGTGAGTCCCTCCTGAATAACCTGAAACCCTAACCAACCCTAACTACCCACTCCTGGTTTTAAACTGTGGTTGCTTTCCAACACCTGTTCTCTGCAGGGTTGGATGAAGATCCTCCTCCCCTGATCTTACATACTGAGGGGCCCCTGATGGAGTGGAGCAAAATGTTTACCTCTGCAGGTCTGTTGGCTTTATGAATACGGAGGTAGGAATGACTCGGGGAGGTGTAGCTTGTGTCGATGAAAAGATCCTTGTAACAATCCTCTAAAGAAACCTGAAAACATCAGAAAGATAATTTAAGAGAGACGACATTTTCTAAATAATTTCAATTCAATTCAGTTTATCCATATAGCGCCAATTCACAACAATTCAGGTGCCAACTCTTAAGACACAGTTCAACCAGATCATATAAATATATATATATATATATATATACTTTTTCAATGCAAAATATCAGTGTGTCCACCTCTGACAGCTCTTTTTTTTTTTATATATATATTACCATCATTATACCGGTTTATTGTAATTGCAAAGGGTGAAGAGGCGAGGTCTTCTGTTCCCCTGTAAAGCAGTTGGGGTAGACCATCTATCCATCCATCCATCATCCAGACCTCGCCTCTTCACCCAGGCCAACTATTCCCTCTAATGACACCCTTTCAGAGACATAGACAGGTATGAGGCATTGCAGGCTAACAAAGAAGCCAAACGACCCCCATTCCAAAGGGGGGGACCCGTTCATCCGTTTCTATTTGCATGTTTTCTAAACTAAAACCAGGCTTTGTTGGGCTGCTGGATAAAACCTGGAACTAAACGCTATTTCTGACATTTTGAATTGAAAAAGCTTCCTTTTTTCCTTTTTGCTCAAATGAAGTGACTTTTTTCTTGAATTGAGGAGGTAAGTGAGACACTTTGCCAATGGAACAAGACAATTTACATTTAAAATAAGAAAAAAAAACAATTGCTTTGTCTTATTTCAAGTGCATATTATCTAATTATCTTATTTTAGGAGTAAAAATACTGATTCCATTGGCAGATCATCTTATTTACCTGCTCAAATTAAGGGTAAATACACTTAATTTAACACATTTTTTACTTATTTCTAGATGTTTTTTGCAGTGAGGATAAACGTGTTAACAATGGAAAAAAATTCAAATCTAGATAAGTAATTTTTTTCTTAAAATAAGTGCATTTGTTGTTGGATTGTGCAGATAAGAGAGACATTTTGCCAATGGAACAAGACAATTTACACTTAAAATAAGAAAACACAAAAGCACTTATTTCAAGTGCATATTATCTATCTTTATTTGAGAGCAAAACTACTAATTAGGAGTAAAAATACTAATTCCAATGGCAAACTATCTAATTTACCTGCTCAAATTAATGGTAAATACACTTCATTTAGAAATGTGTACATATTTCTAGTGAACTTACTGCAATAGTGAGATATTGTGTGTCATTCAGGACTTGGATGTTCAGAGGAAGGACTCCGTCTGCTGGCAAAGGGAACTCCATGTCCTTCATATCATCCTTCTCTTTCTGTTTCTGCATCACCGAAACTTTGACCATCTTCTCCTGATCCTTCGCCGTCAGTGGATCACCATTATAGGAAGATATTTTCAGCTAAAAACAGAAATAAAAGGTGTTTATGAGCTGGGCAGACCAAGAGGAAGACGAAATGGTTAATTTCTTACCCTGCCGTTGAAGTTTAAAGATGGTCTCAGGACTTTAGGAAAGTCTTCAAAACTAATGTGGTATCTCTCTGTTGCCAAAGCGACCGTCGCTGTGTTGTTATACGTGAGACCTGAAAGAGGACATAAAATGAGCGTACACACTAAACTGGGCCTGAAAACTGCGCTTCCACACAAAGATTTTGGTTCATAAAAAAAAGGAAAAGTCCGGTTATATTCAGGATTCAAACTTCTGAAAGTTCTTTAAATCTGAAATGATTCCATCCTGTTCAATAAATGATCAGTGTTTTTAATTCAGAGTCATTTTCATGTGAATGTGCTTTACTGGAGGCATCCATGTTTGTCAAAGAACACTACTGCCACCTACTGGTTAGTGATGTCACGGTGCGGTATCGGCTGTTGATCAAGTCCCAGTGCTGTATCTGGTGTTTGTCACAACGCGCTATTATCCAAGTCATCTTGAAAACATTCTTCTTCCAAATGTCGGCTACATATTACGGGTTTTTTCTCTGGCCAGAAGTTCGATGGCAAATCCTCCCTCTTCAAGTTGGCGATCCAACGACCAACCCGTCCGTGGAGGATCAGGAATCAGAAAGGTGGAATAACTCTTTTTTTCACTTTTACCCGATGTATTCCAGCATCCAGCTGCCATGCACGTGGGCATTGTCAGTTTCACTATAGCTCTGGTGAATTTCAATGGTGAAGTCCTCTGGAAATCTTCAATAATTGTTGTTGATTGCAGATGTGTCTAGTAGTTCCCATTGATTTATATTTGGGCAAAAATGGCCGCTCCCAGACTCAGTGACCGCAACAAAAATTATTTTAATTTTTTTTATTGATTAACGACAATCTCATTAAATCACATATTTTAGTTTTAGGTTTAGTTTTCTCCTATCCATCCGCCAGTGATGGGACTAACGGGGTTGAAAGTAACGGCGTTACTAACGCCGTTACTTTCTTTTAGTAACGAGTAATCTAACTAATTACTTTGACTGTAACTATAACGCAGTTACCATTGCAGACACCCCGTTACTGCGCGTTACTCAGGTCGCACAATGAACCTTTTTTCATGATAGGACTCGTGCGCAGCTGCGTGAAGCTGACACCCCACCCACGTCCAAAAACTCTGCAAATAGACTGAATGGTTAGTGCAACGTTAGTGCAGATTTGTGCAGAAAAAAATATTGTTTGTGCTACTTTTGTTTAAGAGATATTAAAGATTATTTTGTAGGTCATCCAGAGGATGAGAATGGCTGATGTATAGTGAGATTCCGTCTGTCAGTTGGGTAGGTGGGTGTTTCCGCTGGCGGGTGTTAACGTACAGCACACACAGAGAGATGGAGAGTGAGGAGGACTCCAGCAGCAAAACAGCGTTTTCCACATGGAAATACCGGTGTTACGTCGAGCTGCGTTTCCCCATCACATACGGTTTCCTCTGCATCTCCGCACCGCGCAAGCGACAGGAAACGCGCATGCTCGCTAAAGGCGCGCACCAGTCGCCCTGTGCTCGCGCCACAGGAGCACTATGGAGAGCGTGAACGATCAAATTATAGCCTATATGGAGAAAGGGAGAAATCTGGATGGATGGATGGATGGATGGATGGATGGATGGATGGATGGATGGATGGATGGATGGATGGATGGATGGATGGATGGATGGATGGATGGATGGATGGATGGATGGATGGATGGATGGATGGATGGATGGATACTCTGCCTTTTCAACCTACTGTATTTTTTATTTTAAACATTATTTGATGGCCTTTGTGGCAGGGATGGAGATCCATATTTTATGTCACACACAGAGTATACATCTAGATAGATAGATGTATAGATAGATGTTGCAGTATCTATAACAACCCAAACACACAGGATTTCAGAATTAGACATCCCCAGTTATTAATTTCATATACTCACCAGATCTGAACGCCCTGTTAAAAAACTTCACATGGCGTTCCCCCTGATGTCATTTACATTGAGTTGCAATAAATGCAAAACTCTCTGCAGGTTCTTGTCTTTGTTGTCCGCACTATTCAGCTGGTTTTTGAATCACACGGCGAGAAGGTGGGGGCTGGGTGGTGAGGGTTACGGGGGCGAGAAACGCAAAAGTAACGCAATAGTTACTTTTACTAGTAACTAGTTACTTTTATTGTGGAGTAACTCAGTTAGTAACTCAGTTACTTTTTGGGAGAAGTAACTAGTAACTATAACTAATTACTTTTTCAAAGTAACGTGCCCAACACTGCCATCCGCACAGGTCTGCTTAATTCAGAAAGAGGAGAAGTTGGCGACACAGATGGTGTCTGAGATGTAGAACTGAAGCCAGATTACATCATAATTCTTCTCAGAAAATTAATCTAACTTTATATGAAACTTAATTTGTAGATGACTATATTGGATCAGAAACCACAGTGTGATAAATGCTGGCGGTCCTGAGACCTGTTAGTCAAATACGAAAACAAGCTTCATAAGCACACTGGAAAAACAGTCTAGAAATAAGTAAAAATGTCTTAAATTAAGTGTATATACCTTTAATCTGAGTAGGTAAAGGGGATAGTTTGCCAATGGAATTAGTATTTTTACTCTTAAAATAAGATAATTAGAAAATATGCACTTAAAATAAGACAATGCAGTTGTGTTTTCTTATTTGAAGTCTAAATTTTTTTCTTCCATTGGCAAAATGTATCTTTTATCTCCACAATCGAGGAACAAATGCACCTGACTTATCTAGATTTTGATTTTTTTCTGGTGCAGCTTAAATCCTAAAGTCTACACGGATTTAAACCTTTCCTCACCATCATAATTCTCTCCCTGTTGATCACTGAGGTGAGTCATAGAATATATATGTGTTGGAGTTATTATGATTTCTGTTGTTTTTATCATTTTATTAATTTATATCTTTTATATTGCTTTTAATCATTTGTTTTTTTCTATGATACTTTCATCAGTGGAAACATCGATGCAGGTCATAAGACGGTCAAATGTTTGGCGAAAATGCTTTCCTGTTTTTCATTTGAGAAACACCGAAGTTAAAGTTTATGACCCCCGACACCTTTTTTAAAAGCATATACTGAAACCAGACATGTTCTCTATCTTAAAAGCTCATGCTATGTCTAAGAGATTGCGTAATCGAAACTAACGACTGCTCAATAAAAAAGCCTGCAAGCGTGGAGCAAGACGAAGGTGCACAGAGAGATCCCAAAGCTCTGTGTATTTACCCTTTGCAAAGCATCTTACACTGTCTTTGTTTTATTCCTTATAGGTTAAAGTTGGGGAAACTTAACAACCCTAACAGTATGAATATCACTATATGTGAGGAATTCACACTGATTACTGTAAATGTTCTTAAAGTCATAGGGAAGTCATATTTAAATGTCATTCTGGCTTAAAAATGTATTCTTTATCAGACGATATCGTCCCAAAAGTTAGATCATTTCTATTTTTTTTTTAAATCCTGTTGTAAAATCTGTTTTTTCGTTATGTTATACAGGCCATGTAACCATGACGATGCAGATGACACCCAGCTGTACATTAGCATGTCATCAGGTTGACTATGAACCCATTTCATTCTCTTTAATTGATTGTTTTGCTTTTATGCCTGTGTAACTTTTTTTTCTTTTGTCTTGCCACTGTAATGTTCTCTATGACTTGCCTTGCCCTGCCTATAAATGAGACCAAAACATGTTCTAACTGCTTCTATGTTCAAACGGACTTACCCGTCAGGTATTCGGTCACAGACACCTGGATGGTCAGGTAGACCCGGCTTTCTTCATAGAATATCATCATCATCCATTCCCAGTCTAGAGGAAAGTCGACAGCATCAAACATGAACTTTTCGGACCCATGGATCTGGAAAAAAAAGGTAAATTTAGGAAAAAATGTAATATTTAATCAAAACGATTTAGACCAGGATGGACTCTTTATTTCCTGACCTCCCCCTCCTTGCTGTGACTATAAACGTTGCCATGGGAGTGAAGACTGACTGTGATGTTCATGTGTCCGTGGACGGGTTTGCCATACCAGTACCTGAGGACCAAAATAGAACTCATGAGCCCAGGGCTGGTGAGGTTAAAACCACGAAAAAAAAGTCCCACCTGGCCGAGACGAAGCCTTTCAGATTGTCCTCCCAATGGATCACATCCGGAGCTTTGATCACTACCTCAAACTTTGGCAGAACTGGAACCAAGCAGACACAGGGTTAGCGGATCAGAGGGACTGGTTGTCCTACAGGGACATGCCTGGTTAAACGTGAGGAGGACCAAACTCACCATAATGATCCACGCTGAAAGACTTCTCCGTGGAAACGCCCTTAAAGAAAACAGAGATGACCTCTTTATTCCCACCATCTACAGCAAGACAACCATTACGTTCATTACTGGTTTAAAAACTGGTTTAGTCTCCAAGGCCCTGGTTCTGTTCAGTCCTTCTGATCCGACTCTGATACAAATCCTGAACAGGACAGAGGATGAAGCCAGACTAGCAGAACCTTCTCCTGCCCTCCAGGCCACCAGAGGGCGACATCCCACTAAGCACTGGTTTGTTTTTTCCTTCGTTTTTTATTGTCATTACACTGTCACAAGTACAGAGCAACAAAATAAACTCTCTGCATTTAACCCATTGAGGAGCAGTGGGCTGCCATTGTGCGGCACCCGGGGAGCAGTGCGGGGTTAAGGGACCCAGAGTGGCAGTCTGTGGGAGTGGGGCTTTGAACTCAGAACCTCTGGATTCCAAGCACAATACCCTAACAACTAGGCCGCCACTCCCTCCGTGTTCTGGTAACTGACCCCTAAACAGAACCCATCAGAACTTTCCCCCCCCTCCAGGTGGTGGAGTGGTTTCAGTGCCAGAGGCCATGTCCTTGGGGGCTTTAAAACCCCTGGTGGGGTCTCCCAAGGCAGAAAGGCTCCTAGTAACAGGTCAGACAAAGAGCGGAACCATGAGGGACTGGGCAGCAGTCAGAGGCTTTGGCCTTGGCAACCCGATCTGTGGATCTGTAAAGTGGCTCTGGGGATGTGCAATGTCCCCTCGCTGGTGGGGAAGCAGCCTGAGCTGTGTCGGGAAGTGGTACAGGGGGGTAACAAGGGGCGATCCGCCTCCAACGACCACCTCCAAATCAGGAATGGTAGGGTCAGGAGGAAATCAAACATGTTTGGTCGTGGGCTAATTGCTCAGTGGGCAAACAAGGATCCTTTTTGTTCTTCTTCCATGGTGGGGGTGCGAGTGAAATTGAGTAGGCCTGGGTGGCCTGCCGGTGCTGGGGCTGTCACATCTGCTCTCCCCAAAGGGTGGTGGAGGGAGGGGCGAATAGCGAATTCAGTGGAGGTAGTGGCTGGGTGAATTTTTTGGGGTAGGTGGGTGGTTGTTTGGAGAGGGGGGTCTGGGGTCTGGTTGGGTGGCCTGTGTGGGGCATGTGGGCCCTGTCCCCGGTGGGAGGTTGGTGGGAGTTTTAGCCTCGTTATGAAAAAATCTGGAAGTAAAGATGGAGACCGTCCCTCCATTAGGAGACCTAGGATGAGACCTACCTTCACGGTAGCAATGATGCTCCACTCCCCTAGAGGAGGGTTCTCAGACAGCTGGAACTCCGTGGACACCACACCGAGGACGGCAACCTCGTCCAACCACTGTCTGACCAGGTTTCCTCTGGGATCCTGGATCAAAGGACAAAAATCTCAGAATCCACGACGTTCCTCGATAAAAAAATTTACATTTTTGTAGTTAGGAAGCTGAGAAAGAGGCATTTCTTGCAAGGAAAAAGTAACTACCAACACATACACTCCCCACAGGGGAACCAACCCACCCCCTGCATAAAGAACTTTCTCACACTTGAATATACTGTATGGAAGAAAGCAACCTGAGTTCATCAAGTTCATTTGAGGTCAGGTTAATATATCTTTCACTGGTCTCATAACAGTAGTCTTCCCCTTCATGCCATGAAGGAAGCTGTTTGAACTCATTCTCATCTCTCATGACCTTCGTTTTGATCCTGTGAGACTAAGAACAGACAAACCTCAACATTTTTTACTGAACACACCATTTTTTCTCCTCAACCATCCTGGAGAGAAATATCAGCTGTGCTGCTGCCATCAACACCTTTGTTTCTAGATGTTGGAGCTTGGCCTGTTTTCCAGTGTAGTCCTGTTTCTCTGACTGTGACTAACTGGATGTGCTCTCTTCATCCTCTGACATGGGAGCTGGCTCGGAGCTCGTCTGCCTGGCTGTGTGTTTCCTGGACGGGGCCGCCTGTGGAGCTGGTTGACAGTTGCCTTTTGTATCTATGCTTCTTTTTCTATGTCTGCTTCTGTCTCCTTGAACCCCAGTGGGCCTCAGCAGATGGCCGCTCACACTGAGCCTGGTCCTGCTGGAGGTTTCTTCCTGTTCAAAGGGAGTTTTTCCTCTCCACTGTCGCTACAAGCATGCTTAGTGTGAGGGATTGCTGAAGAGTCAATGAGTCGATGCAATCAGCTGGTTTTCCTTAGATAGAAAACTTTGAATCAATCTGACTGGATGATCTGGTGAACTGGAAAGTGACCTGAGATGACATGATGTGAATTGGAGCTATAGAAATAAACTGAATTAAACATGTTGAGCTTTTTCAACCAGAAGCTTTGATTGGTTTCATCCTTAGTATTCCCACAGAGGAGAACATCTATGAAATGACAGAAAACCATGGGACGTTCTGGGACATTCTCCATCCAATCTGAGCTTTAATGTTCTACAAAGAAGAACGGAGAACTCTAGGCTTTTTTTTACAGTTCTGAAGCTTTAGGGGTGTGAATGCTTTTCAGGGAATTCTGTTCTCAGTTAAACTAAAGCATTGGTTCTAATAGGTTCCGGTGGTTCTGGTCTTCAGATCGATCCCTGATCCGGATGGGTTCTAATGAAAGGTTCTCACCCGGATCAGGATGTCTGCTGGCCCGACACAGGGCTTCCCGTCAGGCAGAACCGACACGGCTCTGATCTTCACCGCCTGACCCGGCTGGTAGGATCGTTTGTCGGTCTGGATGAAGGTGGACACGCCTCCAGGCTGGACCTGCAGCTGCGTGGAGTTGGAGAAGATCTGGACCGAACCTCTGTGGCCTTTGACCTTTAGGGTGTAGGAGCTTCTGGCACCAGATTCGGCTTCTTTGATCTGCCAACGGAAACAGAACCAGATCAACGAGCGATCCGAACATTAGAAAGGGAGATCAGCTGAGCTTCCCTGATCCAGGTCAGAACCAGAGAAACGTTTGGTGCTTACAGCAGGCAGAGTCAGCTGAGCTGTGGTTCCTGCAGAGAAGACGAGATGTTAAAAGTTCTGATGAGGAAGTTCTGATCGGACCCAAACTGTTAGAGGACCCCGGACCCACCTCCTTTAACGACGGTGGAGTTCTTGGACAGAACTCCTCCTCGTTCCTGGTAGATCTCAGCAGAGACGGTGACGGAGGAGGAGCCCAGAACGGTGACCGCCACTGAGGTGGGGAGTCCGGTTCTGAGAGCCGTGGGAGTCAGCAGCAGGTAAGAAGGCTCCGATTTAGGCTGGATCCAGTCCCATCCAGAATCAGGCCTGGAAAACCAACGGAAAAAAAGGAGGACAGGATCTGAACTCAGGCTCCAGTTTCTGTTCACACGACTGAACAACCAGTTCATGTGAGCAACCAGAACCAAACCAGAACCATCATTTAGAACACGGGTCCAAATGCACCGTATGACCTTTTGAAAAACAACAAGGTATGAATTAAAACAACAGAAACTCATGTTTGAGGGAAAAAATTAAATGATCCAAAATGTGAAATTAAAAGAATGTCATCTTAAAAAGCAGAAATGAATCGATCAATCGCTGATTTCTTGTAAAAAGAAAAATGTTATTAACATTTGTAACAGTTAAGTCATTAAAATAAATCTTATTCATTAAAAGGATTATTTATAAAGCACGATTTAAAAATGAACTGGTCATACTTTTTTAATAGTATTTTAACCATTTTTTTAAAAACAGATTATTAAAATTCACATTTAATTTTTAGGCATTTTTAAAGAGTTATAAATTGTAATAAATACAAAAGCTTTAAAGAAAACTGATTAGTCCAGCATAAATATTTAATCAATAAAAAGTTTTCTATTTCAGCTTTTAAACCCTTAAAGAAGTGAAACGAGAAAAGATGATTTTTCAGCATAAATTCCTGTAGATAAGATGAATTGAAGGTCCTCTGTCAGCTCCAGGTGAGCTTACCTGTGAGGTTCTGTGAGGTTCTCTGCAGCAGTCAGGACCAAGAAGAGGAAGACTCCCTTCAGCTGGAGGCGATCCATCATCAGGGCAGCTTCTGGCTTCTGGGAGCAGCAGGCGTCAGGAGCTGCCTTCATACCTGCAGAAAGAGACCACGCCCCCTTCCAGCTGTGCCACCTGAGCAGGCGTCACCTGCAGCCTGCTGCTCTCATTCACAGCTTTGCTTTAAAATTAGCTGCAAAAATAAGCTTTGATGTGATTATTGCATTTAATCATGTATCGTTTTTCATTTATTTTCATTTTTTCTACATCGGCTGTTTTGCGTGATTCAGTTATTCGTTCTTAACACGTTTTTATTGTGCAGTGATTCATTTGATCCTCTGCCTTTATTGTTTTTGCGTTCAGCTATGGAGTGAATTTTGTTTCGATATTGTTTCAGCAAAGAACCATTTTGTAAATTGAATTTTTTAAAAGGTGCAACCCAGAAATTAAACTTTGAAAAAGTGTTTTCATAATTTTTTAATAATTATCTTTTTCTCATTTTATTCTATTTTTTACAAATTTTGCTTTTGAATTTGCTTTTATATTTTCCACTTTTTCTGTTTTTCAAACTGAGTTTTACAAATTGCATTCTTTGCGGATTACATTTTAGAAATCACATTCTCTTCACTTCTAGCCCAGTAAAAATGGCCGCTCTGAGCCATCAAAACGTCCAGCAGTCGAATCCAGATGTGGTTTTGCCCTTCACTCTAAAAGAAAGAATGCATGTTTTAGCGGTTTAACACAATTTAGAAAGAGTACTTTTGGTAAAACTCAATCTGAAAAAGAGAACAAAAAAAGGAAAATATAAAATCTGAAAAAATAAAACGGGAAAGAATAAAATCTTTAAGCATTTTCCTGCATAGATAAAATTTGAAAAACTATGAGAAGTAAAATAGATTTTTTTTTTTTTTAACAGCAAAGTTTATCTGAAAGTTTATTTTTATTAAAAATGTTTTACAGTGTCTCCTCTCTGGATTGCATTTTTTAAATTTCAGTTTATAAGATATATTATTTTACAACAATATTGGAACAAAATTCACTCCAGATTTTTTCTTATAATTTTCCTTTTAATGCATGGATGTAATCATTGACTTAATATTGACTGATTTACTGGTTCAACACCCTGTTTTTTTTAAGTTAGAGTCAACATAAATATGATGAGATATTGCTGTTGGCACAGGAGAGTAATCCTTTTCTTGGAATTATTAGTTATGGTTATGTTTAGTTGTTCTTTTTGCCTTTCATAATGATGTAGGGCAGAGTAAAAATCTCAAAGTTTTGACTTTCAGGAAGCTCTCTAGTGTTGCTGTCAATAGAAAAATGTTGACCAAAAAAATCAAGCAGCTGGGATGTTTAACCCATCAGGTGGTTGATCTGGAAATCATCATTTAACAGAAGTTTAAAGAAACTTAACCGCTAAAGTTATTTTAAACACGGATCTTCTTGGTTTATTTGGCTTTAGGTGTGTTTAATTCCACAAAATTTAAATATCACACACTCACTTATTAAGTTATTAAGTGGAATAAATCAAACTAATCTGCTATTTATTGATTTTGGGGGAGCTGTTGTGATCGCTGGTTCCAGCAGGGGGCAGATGTGTTTCCTATAGTAGAGCAGCTGTAGTGATCGCTGGTTCCAGCAGGGGGCAGATGTGTTTCCTATAGTAGAGCAGCTGTAGTGATCGCTGGTTCCAGCAGGGGGCAGATGTGTTTCCTATAGTAGAGCAGCTGTAGTGATCGCTGGTTCCAGCAGGGGGCAGATGTGTTTCCTATAGTAGAGCAGCTGTAGTGATCGCTGGTTCCAGCAGGGGGCAGATGTGTTTCCTATAGTAGAGGAGCTGTAGTGATCGCTGGTTCCAGCAGGGGGCAGATGTGTTTCCTATAGTAGAGCAGCTGTAGTGATCGCTGGTTCCAGCAGGGGGCAGATGTGTTTCCTATAGTAGAGCAGCTGTAGTGATCGCTGGTTCCAGCAGGGGGCAGATGTGTTTCCCTATAGTAGAGCAGCTGTAGTGATCGCTGGTTGCAGCAGGGGGCAGATGTGTTTCCCTATAGTAGAGCAGCTGTAGTGATCGCTGGTTCCTGCAGGGGGCAGACGTGTTTCCCTGTAGATGAGGAGCTGTAGTGATCGCTGGTTCCAGCAGGGGGCAGATGTGTTTCCCTATAGTAGAGCAGCTGTAGTGATCGCTGGTTCCTGCAGGGGGCAGACGTGTTTCCCTGTAGATGAGGAGCTGTAGTAATCGCTGGTTCCAGCAGGGGGCAGATGTGTTTCCTATAGTAGAGCAGCTGTAGTGATCGCTGGTTCCAGCAGGGGGCAGATGTGTTTCCCTGTAGATGAGGAGCTGTAGTAATCGCTGGTTCCAGCAGGGGGCAGATGTGTTTCCTATAGTAGAGCAGCTGTAGTGATCGCTGGTTCCTGCAGGGGGCAGACGTGTTTCCCTGTAGATGAGGAGCTGTAGTAATCGCTGGTTCCAGCAGGGGGCAGATGTGTTTCCTATAGTAGAGCAGCTGTAGTGATCGCTGGTTCCTGCAGGGGGCAGACGTGTTTCCTATAGTAGAGCAGCTGTAGTGATCGCTGGTTCCAGCAGGGGGCAGATGTGTTTCCTATAGTAGAGCAGCTGTAGTGATCGCTGGTTCCAGCAGGGGGCAGACGTGTTTCCCTGTAGATGAGGAGCTGTAGTAATCGCTGGTTCCAGCAGGGGGCAGATGTGTTTCCTATAGTAGAGCAGCTGTAGTGATCGCTGGTTCCAGCAGGGGGCAGACGTGTTTCCCTGTAGATGAGGAGCTGTAGTGATCGCTGGTTCCAGCAGGGGGCAGATGTGTTTCCCTATAGTAGAGCAGCTGTAGTGATCGCTGGTTCCAGCAGGGGGCAGATGTGTTTCCTATAGTAGAGGAGCTGTAGTGATCGCTGGTTCCAGCAGGGGGCAGATGTGTTTCCCTATAGTAGAGGAGCTGTAGTGATCGCTGGTTCCAGCAGGGGGCAGATGTGTTTCCTATAGTAGAGCAGCTGTAGTGATCGCTGGTTCCAGCAGGGGGCAGACGTGTTTCCTATAGTAGAGCAGCTGTAGTGATCGCTGGTTCCAGCAGGGGGCAGATGTGTTTCCTATAGTAGAGCAGCTGTAGTGATCGCTGGTTCCAGCAGGGGGCAGATGTGTTTCCTATAGTAGAGCAGCTGTAGTGATCGCTGGTTCCAGCAGGGGGCAGATGTGTTTCCTATAGTAGAGCAGCTGTAGTGATCGCTGGTTCCAGCAGGGGGCAGATGTGTTTCCTATAGTAGAGCAGCTGTAGTGATCGCTGGTTCCAGCAGGGGGCAGACGTGTTTCCCTGTAAATGAGGAGCTGTAGTGATCGCTGGTTCCAGCAGGGGGCAGATGTGTTTCCCTATAGTAGAGCAGCTGTAGTGATCGCTGGTTCCAGCAGGGGGCAGAAGTGTTTCCTATAGTAGAGGAGCTGTAGTGATCGCTGGTTCCAGCAGGGGGCAGATGTGTTTCCCTATAGTAGAGCAGCTGTAGTGATCGCTGGTTCCAGCAGGGGGCAGATGTGTTTCCTATAGTAGAGCAGCTGTAGTGATCGCTGGTTCCAGCAGGGGGCAGACGTGTTTCCTATAGTAGAGCAGCTGTAGTGATCGCTGGTTCCAGCAGGGGGCAGATGTGTTTCCTATAGTAGAGGAGCTGTAGTGATCGCTGGTTCCAGCAGGGGGCAGATGTGTTTCCTATAGTAGAGCAGCTGTAGTGATCGCTGGTTCCAGCAGGGGGCAGATGTGTTTCCTATAGTAGAGGAGCTGTAGTGATCGCTGGTTCCAGCAGGGGGCAGATGTGTTTCCCTATAGTAGAGCAGCTGTAGTGATCGCTGGTTCCAGCAGGGGGCAGATGTGTTTCCCTATAGTAGAGCAGCTGTAGTGATCGCTGGTTCCAGCAGGGGGCAGATGTGTTTCCTATAGTAGAGCAGCTGTAGTGATCGCTGGTTCCAGCAGGGGGCAGATGTGTTTCCTATAGTAGAGGAGCTGTAGTGATCGCTGGTTCCAGCAGGGGGCAGATGTGTTTCCTATAGTAGAGCAGCTGTAGTGATCGCTGGTTCCAGCAGGGGGCAGATGTGTTTCCTATAGTAGAGCAGCTGTAGTGATCGCTGGTTCCAGCAGGGGGCAGATGTGTTTCCTATAGTAGAGCAGCTGTAGTGATCGCTGGTTCCAGCAGGGGGCAGATGTGTTTCCCTATAGTAGAGCAGCTGTAGTGATCGCTGGTTCCAGCAGGGGGCAGATGTGTTTCCCTATAGTAGAGCAGCTGTAGTGATCGCTGGTTCCAGCAGGGGGCAGATGTGTTTCCCTATAGTAGAGCAGCTGTAGTGATCGCTGGTTCCAGCAGGGGGCAGATGTGTTTCCCTATAGTAGAGCAGCTGTAGTGATCGCTGGTTCCAGCAGGGGGCAGATGTGTTTCCCTATAGTAGAGCAGCTGTAGTGATCGCTGGTTCCAGCAGGGGGCAGATGTGTTTCCCTATAGTAGAGCAGCTGTAGTGATCGCTGGTTCCAGCAGGGGGCAGATGTGTTTCCCTATAGTAGAGCAGCTGTAGTGATCGCTGGTTCCAGCAGGGGGCAGATGTGTTTCCTATAGTAGAGCAGCTGTAGTGATCGCTGGTTCCAGCAGGGGGCAGATGTGTTTCCTATAGTAGAGGAGCTGTAGTGATCGCTGGTTCCAGCAGGGGGCAGATGTGTTTCCTATAGTAGAGGAGCTGTAGTGATCGCTGGTTCCAGCAGGGGGCAGATGTGTTTCCTATAGTAGAGCAGCTGTAGTGATCGCTGGTTCCAGCAGGGGGCAGATGTGTTTCCCTATAGTAGAGCAGCTGTAGTGATCGCTGGTTCCAGCAGGGGGCAGATGTGTTTCCCTATAGTAGAGCAGCTGTAGTGATCGCTGGTTCCAGCAGGGGGCAGATGTGTTTCCCTATAGTAGAGCAGCTGTAGTGATCGCTGGTTCCAGCAGGGGGCAGATGTGTTTCCCTATAGTAGAGCAGCTGTAGTGATCGCTGGTTCCAGCAGGGGGCAGATGTGTTTCCCTATAGTAGAGCAGCTGTAGTGATCGCTGGTTCCAGCAGGGGGCAGATGTGTTT